ACAACTTGTTCTTTGGGAAGAGAATTTGAATTGCTAACAGTTCTGTCCTGAGATCCGAAGAGAATTGATTTCTGCAATTCAAAGTATTAAAAAGTTGCAGCTTTGTGTGCTTGCTGAGCAGCCAGATGCCTAATCTTTGCCATCAAAATTGATGCCTTTTTCTGCTTTGGGTCTCATTGATGGATGCATAAATCTTGCATAAACCGTCTTCAGGAACTGTCAGTGGATACTTGCTTGGCCATCTATGGAAAGTGAGGATTTTCCCCAGGTGACCAAACAATTAAAAATCTGCATCAATTGGGACAGAGGTGGTTCTTTTGGGGCTTTTCTATATGGATTCCCACACTTGCGAGGCAGCAAACAAAGAAGGAAATGACCAGTTTTTCTGATACTCTTAATATGCAGTTGTTGTTGTTGTTGTTGTTGTGTGCCTCCAAGCCATTTTTTGATTTATGGCAACCCTAAGCCAAACCTATCACAGGGTTTTCTTGGTAAGATTTGTTCAGATGAGATCTGCCATTCCATTGCCTCCTCCTGAGGCTGAGAGAATGTGACTTACCCATGGTCACCCAGTGGGTTTCCATGGCTGAGCCAGGATTCGAACCCTGGTTTCCAGAGTTGTAGTCCAGTTCTCAAACCATTACAGCACGCTGTCTTTCAGTGTGATACTAAGGATTATAAAATACACCAAATACTGGCTGTGCTGGGATTATCTGCATTATAGTTCTCTTCTTTTGGAGGGCATGGAATTGTCTTTTGGTGTTTTTGTGTGTACCCAAGGGCTGTGTGTAAAAAGGGAAAGGCACTCTGCACATGCTTAGAAAGTCTATCATTGCTACTTTCCCGTTCCCAGGTCTTTGTGGCATTCACATCATGGCTTAGGGTTGAACTCTATAAACATCGGAGCTGAAAATTTTGCCTTTTTTGGGGACTGTGACCTCCAGGATCTGGCTGGGGGATTCTGGGAGTGAGTTGTAGTCCAAATAAAGGAACATTTTCCAAGCAATTAGTCCATGGCTTTGCTCCTTTGCATTCATAGCCAGCCAGAGAAGTTGTGGGTGTCTATGAGGTGTGTGTGTGTGTCTCTAGTGACACAGTCGCTTC